GCCGCGGAGGGCGGGAAACGACAGGGCGACGAAGACGTGAGCAGCGACGGCCCGAGGGGACGTTTGAGAGTAGAAAAAAAAGAGGGGGAGTAAAAGAAGAAGGGGCCGGAGCAGCGGGAGGAGCGCACCATGGCCTCAAAGGAAACCACAGCCGCAGGCTTCCTAAGCGTCAGCAGGGAACTCACAGGTGAGCTCCGGCAGGAGTTTATCTGGAAAGTGCGTTTTAACCTTTAATTGAGTCCTCGTAGCAAGAGGAAAAGAGCAGGTTTTAGGGCGCGTAACATGAGTTTTCCTTTCCTCACTTGCTCTCCGCCTACCAGTGCGTTTGATTAGAAACAAGTTATCGCCGCAGGGAAGCGTTGGAAACATCTCCCAAGGCAAAAACCAGAGTTAATGGCTGTTGACGCTTGTGAAAATTGTAATCAACTCGATCTCGGAGACAGTATTCAATGTCGGATTGATTTGGCATAAAAACCTGCCGTGAAATTTATCGAGCACATGGCTCCTGTGGCAGCCAAGAGTTATTTTCAAGTGTTAAGCATGTGCGGCGTTGATGCGCTTTCATTGGGAGTTCTCCGCTTCTCTTTTCGTGTGTGTGCGTGGGAGTTATTGCGCAACCGGGAGCGCTTTGCATAAAGCAGGCAGGTTCACGAGTCTCTCTGTGCTGGGGAGATACAGTAGGACAGTGCAGCACAAACACAGCACGTTTGGCTGATCAGGTGTTTACCAGCTCCGTCTGTCTGGCCTGGTGATGAGAGCCGGGCATTAGGCCATTAACACACCTGGCAATGGAGGACAGGATGGAGAGGGGGGTGGGGATCTCAGAGGGCATTAAAGTGAAGACCGGGTGCTAAGACATTTGGGGTTTTCTTCTCCCCACACCCACACCTCTTCCTCTTCCTCTTCCTGGCCACCTTCATCCCTCTGAGAGCAGATGCCAAGGTCACAGGAGCAGGCCCCGGGGTGGGGCCGGCGACTGCGTTAAACGGTTTAAGTGATTGGGTCTTACTCAGCTTAATGTCAGTAACTCTCTGTTTGGCTTTGGCTGAGCCTTCCTTAGATTAGAGCCAGTGTAACTCCCCCCCCCCCAATCCCCATCCAGAATCAGCCATCGCTCACTCAAGCATGACAGCCAACTTCATGGTTGTTGCTATATGTAGAAAGTGTGAAGACCATTGTCTGCAGCACAGAGAGAGTTTGGAGAATGTGACACAACAAAGCATTGTGACACAGCATGACACACTTTATCTCCATCTGGTGGGCTCCACAAGTGCATATTTAGTATTGGTGGCCCTGCTCAGAATGTGGACTGTGAATTTCGCAGTTTGCAGGCATATGTGCATGTTTGCCGTCAGAGGACATTGGTTGACATTGTATTTGTGAATATTGGGTTTGGTTGTTTTGGAGGACATGTAAATGCAGGGGGCGTCTGGTGCGGATCAGTGAGCTTCAGCACGGTGGAGTAGAGGCCCCTGAAGACTGCAGCTCTGGATCTTGTGTTCAGTTCCATTGAGATGAGCCAGGCTGCTTTTTTTCTTATTTTCTCTGAGGCTAAAAATAGCCTGGTTATGAGTCCTCTTCAGCTAGAGGTTGTGTGTGTGTTTGCTCATGTTGCGTCTTTGTAGCTGTCTACTTTTCTCTGTGACTAGTCACCCCTGTGTATTTCTCTTTAAAGGAAAGATCCATCAGTTTATTCCTAAATTGTACATCAGAGATAAGACATGGTGATGGTACTGGGATATGAGAGCAGTTTCTGATGCACAGCTACTGTACATTGAAATAGAGCTCATTTGGTTGGAAGATGTCACTCAGAAGCTGTGAAGATTAGAAAAGCTGATTGGTTTACATAGGAGCAAGTCCAAAAAAGTGTCACCTCCTGGTGTCCTTAATCCAAGTCTTAATGTGCTGATGTCTATCTTACTTTGCTGTCGAAAGTCACTGTGAGACTCTGTGCAGATGGTCGACAGATTGACTGAAAAACCAACATACTGCGCAGTTCCTTGTTACTGTAAGATACTGGGCCGCTACCAGCCTCCAGAACAGCTTCAGTGCTCCTAGATTTAAATGTCTAGAACTCTAATTTTGATTGACTAAACAGTCTCAACTCAACATTCTCTTACTTGCTTTTGACTAGGCTGCAGCTACAGTCGTGTACAATGTTTCATTCACTGTCTTCGTTCATCTGGTGACCCTTTTCTTGATCAGTCATTTGGTTTCACAATTTCATATTGATGACTTGAAGATGCTAGTTTTGTCTAATCATTTCACAAAAATCCAAAGATACTGTTTTCAGTTTGCTATTTTATAGACTAGCCCAGAGGTCACAATAGACCTTTTCACAGACAGGGTCATACAAGTTTTGTCATAATTTATTATTACCTGGAAATAAAAAAATTGTATTTTTTAATAAGACATATTTCATAACATTTAATTTTTCTTTGTTTTCATTTTTTAAAATAATTAGTATACAGAATCACATGAAGCAGATGACTTTTTTCCAAAGTGACAGCGGAGGCCACAAAAAACCATGTTAACAAATATAAACACTGCAATTTTACCAAATTAGACAATTACCATTAAAATATGAATGACCCATTTACAGGTAGGCTAACTGAATTGATCTCGGCTGATGTGCTTTAGTGTAGCCTGCTGCAGAGGTGACTGTCTCTAGGTTTTTTATGGCCTTTAAAATTTTGATCTGTAAGCTGAATTCACGCTCTGCTGCTGCGCTGGAGACTGGACTTCCCAGCTCCATTTCAGCCAAAGTTTTGATGTTGGGAAGTTTCTCTCCGGAATCCATTACAAGTTCCTTTGAACATGAAATTTCCTGATCCTGACCCACTCACTTCACCAGGAGGAATCCGCTGCATGCTTTCCTTTCTGTATCCCTCTGTGATCTGTACTGGTCACAGTTGCACTCCATGGCTTCCAGTCTGTGGCTGCTCAATGTGTTGTCAGCTCCCAGATAACGAAGAGCGTTGAGTACTGTCTCAGTCATCCTTCTGCACCGCATCAGTTCCGCTTTTTCCACATTGTTTATCTATGCCATAGCAAATATTTGGGCTCTTTAGTAGCCTAACTTTAAGTTGGGGTAAATTGCCCTTTGTTTTCATGTCTGTCAAAATGATGGACGCCCTTGAGATCTTTCCGGCATCATTTAAAAAAAAATCATTTTTGACAAGAAAATGTTTGATTAACATAACCTTTAGGCTAACCAGTGTTTTATATGTTGGTTGCAGTGACTTTTTTGGCTTTTTTGATCAGTTATAGATTCATTTGCTGTCAAATGACTTATTCACTAATTGTTTAATCTCTACCTTTGACTCTGTCACATGGTTTTCATCAGCGGTTGAATTTTACTCATTTGTCATGGATCTGCAGACATTATTACTCACAGGACTTAATGCTCATGTTGGCTTGAATGTTGAGTTTGACAGTTCCTTGAACAAACTTTTATCTACTGATCAAGACCTTGTTGTTCAGTTGAAAGCTCTAGAATAAGCTAGGAAGTGGACCTGGAGTGAACAGTGTTTTGTCAGCTGTTGTTTCCAAGGTCAAGAATGGTGGATCCAACAACTCCTATAGGTGTTCAGGTAGGTTGAGATATGGGGTACATCTCATGTCTCTTTCTTATAAGATTGTTCCTATGTCCTTTGTCAACCTGGAAGTAGTTCAGCTGACTGAGGACTGAGGATGTCCCACATCTGTTATATCAGCTCTCTAAGGTTGAGGAGTGAGGAGGCTGCTTTAGGAGCCATGACGGAGGACACACGAGAACATCCTTAACAGACTTTTTTTTGTGGACCAACATGCCCCTTTATCAGAAATCGGTTGGTGACTGGATGCTTCAGATGAAGGAACTGAGGAAAGGCCCATGTCATTACGTGTTTCCTCGAGTCCTCTCTCTCCACCTTCTCCTCACATTTCTTCTTGCATCTTATGTGTGTGGGTCTTAAGTGAAGGAAACAATAGTGCTTATAAGAGACTTGAGATGTACCCACGGTGACTGTGAAGTCCATGGTGTATGATTCACATAATTTTTTATTACGAATGCAGTGATCCAATTACACAAGTTGGTATTAGCACTGATACTGACCTTATGAAGCAGCGTGGCCTGCTGAGTTTTTAAAATCAATGGTAACTTACTATATAGCTTCCATGTACAGTAAGCTGAATGAAGTGATTTTTAGATAGGTCCTCAGGTTACTTCATACAGTGCAACGAGGTATAAATGGGTAAAAAGATGTTGGAAGAGAAAATGGTCTGTTCCTTATGTTTCTCTAAGCATTCATTCAGGTCTTTCCTTTTATTCATTACCCAGCTGTATCTTTGAATATAGATTTCATTTTACTGGGTTTCTGAATGCATCTCAGGGAAGCAGTTTTCATTCTGTTAATGTGTTTACGTTATGTAACCAGCTCTCCTGTTTTAGTCCTTTTTCCTGCACTCTTCTCTCCAGAGAGCATCAGGAAGGTGCTGGACAAGCAGGCCATTAAGTTTGTGCGAGCCATCAAGCAGGAAACCAGGAGCGGCAAATCAGAGGACAGGATTTTGGTGAGAGACGACCTCACTCCACACCCCACCCCCACTGTGGTCACACCAGGTCACTTGAGAGAGATATTCATAGTTAAAGTGAAAGCGCTGTTATCTATGAGGTGTTTGAATATGGAACAGGCTCATTCCAGATGAAATGCAAATGAATGGATGTAATTGTGAAAGAGCCATAAGAAGTTGCACATTTCACATCCTAAGTGCCACAACACATGTTGAAAATCGGGCTTGAGACACATGCTACCTAAGCAGAATAGAGTGGACATGATGCCAAGGCCTACTGAATCCATCCTCAGAGCTTACTAGATGGCAGGATGGCCTGATGCCCTGGGCCAGAGTGTGGTGTTTGTAAGCCTGACATGGTGTACACACACACAGGCATCAGTTATTGTTTTTTTCTTTTAAGAAAAAAGCTCAGTGTGTGTGTGTGCATGTACATGCATGCCAGAAGGTGTGTGGGCAGCCTGTGATGCACTCAAAGAGCATGTGCAAGCCAAGGCCACTGCTGTAATTGAGAGATTGTCAGTCAGCCACATTAGTTACTGATCAGTTACTTACATGTGGTTGCTATGCGTGTGAGCGAGCTAATTTCCTTCCCTGAAGAGAACCATAAAAAGCCAAGCTGATAAGCGAATCAAAACTATTAATCTGTGCTTCGCTCAGTTTTCCGTCCTTCCTATTATTTCTCCTCCCCACCTCTGTCTAGCTCCATCATTATCACCCCTCCACCTCCTGTTTTTGTCTTCTCCTCTCTTTGTTTCCTTTCCCTATCCCTCCTTATCTGCCCATCTCAATTATTCTCCTCCCCGTCATCGCCCTCATTCTCCTCCCTCCATCTCCACCATGTCGGCTGTCTCTCACTTTCTCTCCGTTATGCTCTTTCCTTTTCCCTCTGTCTTAACTCAAACCTGTAAAAGGATATTGAGCTCCTCTTTCCATCAGAAGCAATTCAATTAGGTCCCTGCCTTATGAGAGTTTTTTACTGTCCAAATGGGCCCTGGCTGCTGCTGCTGCTGCTGCTGCTGGTGCTCGCGCCGCCCCACCCAACTAATCAC